TGACTCCGTTCGTTTCACACAAAAATTGAAAGTTGGAAAACTATTTTCTTAATTCTTGGTAGTTTGTATGATTTGAGAAAATGAGAGTCAACGTGATGGGTTTTCGTTAGTAAAAGAAATCTATGCGTAAAAGATTTCCTTGGCAGTAAAAATGTTTTCTGGAAATTATCGAAAGTGGTCCTCGTAATATTGTCGGAGTTCAATTTTGGTCCCTATACTATGTTTTGTCGATAATTTAGTCCCTCAACTTATCTTCTGAGACAAATGAAGGACTGTTTTCCATGTTCCATCCAAACGTGGACGGAGTATGCCATGCTAGCGCCGAGAGTCACAAGTGGTGCTGATGTGGACTGATCGACAGAAAAGTAGCTGAGTCAGCGTCATCATGTAGAGAAAAAAAGCGGGGATAGCCACACGGTTGCGTCGCATGGTTCGATCCTGTGATGTGCGTTCGTTCAAAGGCCATTGAAGATCTTGGGGACAGGCTTGCGAAGTCATGGCGCAAGGGAGAGGGATGTGATTATGTTGATGGGTCATCACCATTGTCGTTCTCCTCTGTGTTTTGCCTGATCAAGACATTAACGACTCTATACCCACCTGGCTCTTTAGGATCCTTCAGGACAGTGTCATGCGAAATATGTTAAGTTTAAGGAAGTTTTCATACTGCCAAATCAATAATTATTGCATTATACTTTAAGGAAAGGTTCATCTGCTATAACAACCTATTAAATTCGAACACTTTATGTGAATAAGAACAAACGCATCGGTGGATTAAATTTAACATTGCGTTACAAACTCATTGAAAAATCAAAATTAATTACTTCAGTAGCAAGTGTGCAACCTCATTGTGATTAGGATTGGCCAATGTTATGTCTTTAACATGGCGTTTCTCCATTTGGACTTGAATATTCAACCCAACTAGGAAATTTACGCATCCTTTTCTTTTGGGAATCAAGCTTACTATGCTGGAGTGCGTGTCAAATTTCATAATTCCATGAAAAGAATATATATTAGTCAAAATCTAACTTAGCAACTGCAAGTTCGAGTCGATTGAAAGTTATAAGAGCGAATTGAGAATTAAAATAGAATAAGAAAAAAACAAAAAAAGAAGTCATTATCTGATGGTCGCAAAGTCAACTCACAAAACCCCAAAGACCTTGACTTCTTCACGCTTGAATTGCACACTCGTCGAGGACCTCAACTTCCCGATGGATGTGTACAAGTTCCATTCATACATGCATGCTGGTTTAAATAAAACCGCGAAATTTAGAGATTCGCATGAATAGAATATTTTGCTAGCCGGAAAATTACTGTCATGACATTTACAATCTAATCGCTTAAGTGTTAATACCTAAATTTTGATGACCTATTTAGATATTAATTACATAGAAAAGTAGAGATCGACCTCAATCCCAAAACAAAAGTATTAGTTAAATTACATATAAATATTAAGAGCATTTGCATTAATAGTTGGGGGCGCATGTAATTGCATTGAAGTTAATGGACTAAAGCAAAGATGGCATGAATTTAATCATACAAGCTAAGCCTGCCAGGAATGAAGTTCAGCCACACCTGGAATCTCTTCCTTATAATGGAAAATTCCACATGCTGTCCTAAATTAGGAAGTATTGGTTTATTGATCACAAGGTTTTTGGCCATATAAAAAACAATTGGCAAGATATTCATACATACACAGTTGAGCAATACTGTTGAGCAAGATATTCGCTATTGCGCTTCACTGGAGGATCGTCGCTGCGCCTTGCCTTTGCGTCGCTTTAGCCCTGCTCAATCACTGTTAAGCAATACCAAGCGTACCCCTCAGCCATACCGTGACCCGCTGCTGCAGCCGCAGAGATCCTAGTTTCCGGGTAAGTTCAGTCTTCCCGGTGCCATCCAGACCATGCTTGACCGCCGCAGCGGCACCACCAAGCTCAGCCTTTGCTGCTGCGCCAAACTCATACTGGGCGCTCCCTGTTTATCCGACGAAGCTCACCGTGCCGTTGCTGCTGTTAGCACTCGCTGCCCCTGTTCCGATCAAACATGAACAAAGATGCACGCACATCTCCTATTGATGATGTCAAACTACACATTATTCTAATATAGTACTGAGACAAGTTCAACAGAAAATGATTAACGGCAAAATCAAGACGTTAAAGTATTAAAAAGCAGTAGATGCAAATAATAGTTCCTTAAATTATTAGTTCAATGTAAGTGGACCAAAATCAGGTTTCGAATTAATATTGTTAAAATTTTTCTCGAGTTTGAGCCTGATAGACGAAGCCCAACCAGAGATTAATTATTAATCTCGTGAAAGAAACCGGACCCGTGACTTGTTGACCGAAATGTTACTTAGAGTCTGTTTCGTAACGTTTCTGTTTCTTTGTTTTTCTGTTCTTTTGTTCCCTGGAACAGAAAAAGAACAGAAATCCGTTTAGTAAAAATAATCTATTTTTTTTGTTTCTGGAACAAAAAAGTGTTCCTGAAATAGATTTGGAAAAGAAACAAGAAGTAAAAAAAATCTGCTTCTTGTTTGTGGAACAAGAAAAAAGAAACAATTTTTTTTTTAGGAATCCTCCAAAAACAAGAAACAATCCATCGGCCGCAATCCGCGCACCGCCGCCTCTTGCCGTCCTTTGCCGCCACCTACCGCTCGTCTTCCGCCGCTGCCCGTCAGCAACGCTCGCCTGCCTCCTCCCGCCCATTGGCCGCCTCTTGTCGTTGACCACTGTCCTCTGCCGCTCGACGCTTGTCGCCACCCGCCACCGGCCGCCGTCCTCCACCGCTGGCCGCCGTACTTGATCGCCCAACGTCGGCCGCCACCCGGCGCTGGCCGCCTCCCCTCGCCAACCACCCGACGCTAGCGATCACCCACCACCGGTCGCCGTCCTCCGCCGCCGCCGGCCACCCACCACCGGCCGCCATCCTCCGCCGCTGGCCATTGTGCTCCATCGCCCGACGCCGGCCACCACCCGGTGCCGGTTGCCGTCGGCCACCTCCCGCCCCTGGCCACCCGATGCCGGCGGTCACCCACCATCAGCCGCCATCCTTCGCCACCGGCCGCCGTGCTCCATTGACCGACGATGGCCACCCTCCGCTGCCAGCCACCTCCCGCCGCCGCCCCCCGCTGCCGTCATCGCCGCCCGACGCCACCGTGCTCCGCCGCTGATCGCTGTGCTCCACTGCCTCCCGCCGTTGATCGCTGTGCTCCACTGCCTCCGGCCGTCGGTCGCCATCCTCCGCCGCCGCCGACCACCGTCCTTCGCCCCCCACCGCCACCCGCCGTCCTCCGCCAGTAGCCCAGAAGGGAGAAACTCGTCCATGGAATAGAAATGGATCATTCGCGCCCTAAACGCGTTTCCATTCTTTTTCTATTCCAGGAATAGAAATTTTGTGCAGTTATTAAACGCTATTTTTTGCTCAGAAACTGTTCCAAGAAATAAAAATAGAAAAAACTATTTTTGATCAGAAATTATTTCTGGAAACAGAAACGTTGCTATGCAGACCCTTAGACTCTTCAAAAAAATATTGGGTGGTCCCGGACCGCCAAGTCAGCGTGGTCCCCGACCACTCATGAGGCGCCGCATGATCCACGTGGCGTGGGTGGGCTCGGCGGGCCAGGATACATTTTTTGCACAAAAAATTAATGTTTTTTCTCCTTTGCCCTGGACGCCTCCTTTGTACTAAGAACCTACACTCCCCTTTCCTGTCAAGTCTCTCCCCCCTCTCTCTCTCTCCATTAATGGCGGCCTCCTCCTTCTCTCTCCTTCTCTATCTCCTTAGCACTCCCCCTCTCTTCTCACTCACGAAGCCCACATTCTCTCTGTTTTTTAAAAAATCGCTCCTGCCCAAGAGCAAGCCGCTCGCCCGCCGGTCTTGACCTCCGCCGTCCCCTCCACCCGCCCAAGAGCAGCTGAATCCCGAACCTCTCACCACTATCGCCTCCGCTCCCGCCTGCCCAAGAAGAGCTAGGTCCCGAGCTTTGACCACTGTCGCTTTTGACCTCCACCGTCGCCTTCGCCGTCCCAAGAGCAAGCCGCCCGCCCGCTGGTCCCGACCTCCGCCATCGCCTCCGTCTGCCTAAGAGCAGCTGGGTCCCGAACCTCTTACCACCGTCGCCTCCAACCTCTGCCATCTCCTTCATCGCCCGAGAGCAACCCGCCCGCCCATCGGTCCCGAATAACCTGAAGCTGATGCATATCCCAAATTTGGTACAATGTGGTACATGCCACTTATGTGCTCGATCTCCAAACCACGAGTGGATGTCCTTGAAATTTTGCTACAAGGAGGTGCAAGTATTAGAAAGAGATTTTGCTTTTTGGGCCTTTTTTGTTTTTTTTTTGTTTTATTTTGCACCCTTTTTGTCTTCGATAAAGTGGTGACGGCTGCAACTGAGCTAAATTCGCTAGTGTTCTCTAAAGCCTCAAGTATAACAGGTTTTACCCTGCACATAATTTGGTTAAATCTTGTGGTCCTCTGTGCAGCGGAACTACTAGCCACGAACAAATTGTCAGAGTTGGCATGCTTGGCCTTGTATCTAATGTATGAGAAGAAGCAAGGGAAGAAGTCTTTCTGGTACCCTTACATAAGGGAGCTTGATCGTCAGCAAGGAAGGGGCCAGATGGCAGTGGAATCTCCGCTTTTGTGGGCAGAATCTGAACTTGATTACTTAACAGGCAGTCCAACAAAGGTACTACAATGCTATGTTTTGCAGTTGCTCTGTAATAAATGCTTTGACAACTACATCAAAGTTTATTTATTTGTTTTATGTTTCAAAAGCCTAAAACTCTACATTCTGTGCCGGAGCATTAGGCCGAAGTTCTTGAGAGGGCTGAAGGGATTAGAAGAGAATACCATGAGCTCGACACTGTTTGGTTTTATGGCTGGTTCTTTGTTTAAGGTAATAATTTTTGCTCTTATACTTTGTCCTGTCCGGTTCCTATCACCGTAATTTTCTTTTACGTACTTTTGCCGTAATTATGCTAGCTCGGTGAGTCTACTTATTTTGATTTTGCAGCAATACCCTTATGATATTCCGACTGAGGCCTTTCCTTTTGAGATTTTCAAGCAAGCCTTTGTGGCAATTCAATCTTGCGTGGTGCATTTGCAGGTGCTACTCTTCATACCTTTTGCATGGGGAAATAAGCACTGTTGCTTTCACTAGATAACTTACATTTTGTAGTTGTTTAATCAGATGACTCCTGTTTGATTTCAGAAAGTCAGTCTTGCACGAAGTTTTGCTTTAGTTCCTCTTGGTCCCCCATTGCTAGCATATAGAAGCAATTGCAAGGCAATGTTGACAGCTGTTGATGGTGCTGTTGAAGTTGTAGTTGATTGTGCATATAAGGCTGGAGAACCATTAGCTGTTTGGTATGAATTCTTCTCTTGATGAAGTTGGCTTTTCAGTGTAAAATCGAGGTCTTCCTTCTTTTCTTGTTGATCCTTAAGGCATCCTTGTTCTGCACTTCAATGCAATCTTAATGGTTGTTATATTTGGTCTTAGGTGTGGACCGCAGCCTAACTCAAGATTGCTTTTGAATTACGGTTTTCTTGATGAAGATAACTCTTATGATTGGTTCAGGGTTGAGGTAAAAGTGGCTGCTCTTTTCCGTGCCATTTCATCATATGCTTGTCAAACATTCTAATGTGCTTTCCTCCTTCTTGTCTGTTTAAGCTTCTTTGAATACTGAGGATCCTCAATATCAGGATAAAAGAATGGTTGCTCAACGGAACGGAAATCTTGCGAAACAAGTTTTTGATGTATGAAACTTTTTGCGGCAAATTAGTAGCTTGGATTTGCCTCTCATGAGTATTGTATTGCTTTGTTGTGCAGGTGTACGTCGGAAAGGAAAGGGAAGCTGTATTCGATATGCTTCCTTATTTGCGATTGGGCTATGTTTTAGATCCTTCGGATATGCAATCAGTCATTTCATCCCAAGGTCCAATCTGTCCGGTAAGTTTCATCCTTTGAAATTAATTTTAGTTTTGAAGTGCTCTCATGTTGTGGTTAATTCATATATCATTTATCTAGCATTTAGCTTATATAGTCTGAATAACAGATTAAATTATGGTGGATTACATGTTAGTTTTCGGCTACTTTTTTGGTTTTTCTAATTCTCGATGCATCTCCTAGAGTGACCTCATGTGCAGTTCACTGATACTACTCCATGTAATACTATTTGTATATCCAGAGAGAAGAGGGTTCGCTAATAATGTTTTGCTTTAGAAGCTTCGTCAGTCTTCTCATGTCATTTTGGCAAGAATTAATTTGTGAAATGTCAAATGTTTTCTTCAGGTGAGTCCTTACACAGAGAGGGCTGTCTTGGATCAACTAGTTGAATATTTCGAGTCACGTACTGCTAGCTATCCTACAACCTTGAGCGAATATGAGTCTTTGGTAATTTGACTCTACTGTACTCCATTTTATTTCTTCAACTGCTCCACATTTTGTGCAGGTACAGTGGGAAAGATGGGTATGGCTTTATAAAAAATGAGTTGAAGTGCAACCCCACCACAGCGGGTTTTGATCCAAGCCATAAGACAAGAGTGTGCACTGTGTTTTAGGTTTAAGGAAGACGTGCACTGGTTCCACGATGAAGAGAATCTTGCTAGGCCTCCCTTATTCCTTACTATTGTTAAGATGCTAACTAGTCTCCTGTCCCTGCCCCTTTCCTCATAGCAGGTCTTTTGTGTGACTTTCATGTGAAGTGTTCATCTTTTTATGAGGCAAGGAGATGTTATTTCGCAGGCAAAATTTGCTTTGTAAGTACTAGTGCCGGATATTTCCTTGCTGCCTTTTGTAAATGTAAGTGTACACATAGACGACTGATGGCAATTTAAACTTGCTCCTGTACTCGACCCTTTAAATTCCACAATTTTAAAGTACTTCATTTGCTATTTTCAACTTGAGTTATGAAAAAAATGGCTTACATCGTTTCTTCCCACAGAAGGGTTCCACAGGAAGGGCTAAAAGGAAATATTGATTGGGATACAATTGAAGATCACCTGATTCTTTTGAGGATTAAGAGTTTATTTGGAGTGTGGTCCGACTATTTTGGGGACGACCTTTGGAAGATCCAACATGAAATATGTTGAAGGAAATGCAAATGGCAATTGAAAGCAAATCGCCTCGAGAGCTTGTCATCCCGGAGCCTATAAATTATATAAGAACGAGATGAGTATAATCACATCAGTAACTCATATACTTAGGCTATTTTCAATTGCCGGCATAATGAGGATGGGATTTCTTTCTTTCGGTATGTTGTGAACCGGATATTGACATAAACCCACAGATGACTCGAATTTACAAGTTACTAAAGATAAAGTGTCCCAAATGTGACCGGTTGAATCAACCGGTAAACTCCCATAGCCACTCTCGCTTTTGGCTCAGGATACTGACCACCGTGATCTAGTGGCTACTGAATTCAGCTCTAGATCTCATGGGAGAGAGGGAGCCTGTGCCACTTAGGCCACCACCGCCAGATGATTGAGAGAGACAGAGAGATCATCGTCGATGACGTCATTTGAGACCATGGTGATGGCTGCTAGTGCCGCCATCATGCGGCTGTCTCCTACGACCTTGAGCTTCAACTTCTCCCTTTATTTTTTCAGTTTCCATATCCTTTCTAGGTAGGATTAACTCATGGACTAGTCCGGATTGATCAGATTCATAACAGGACGCTGAACATTTGGATAGGATAGTTTATATAGCCTTGGGCATCCGAGTCCTTTCTCCTTGAACATTTGTCAATGCTCTCCTCTATTCAATTCAATACAATCTACCACTTTTGCACAAAGATGTAAAAACTGCAGTTAAATAATTATATGCCTCGCTCAAGTAAAAAGATTGAAGAAAGAATATACTTGGACTATTTACCTGGCCTAGAGAAAATGTGTGTGAAAAAGAAGAAAAAAAATCTAAGCTAAGACAATGCTTCAAAGTGTCGACTTTATGCAACTTGCATCACAGTCTCAATTTGGTCCTCCACATGTCTCCAATGACCATCTTAGGTCGCGGATTATCTGGTCCTCGATCCCGTTGCCCCGATGTAAAGTACAGCCAGCCGTCCCAAAAGCCTGCGATTGCGGTTTTGACGCGGTAAGGAAGCTTCCCGATCACCATCCATTTCTGCCAGAAAGCATCACAGTCCACAAATGTATCACCATACAAGTGCAAAAGTAATAGAACATTAAGTACTACATTAGAATAGACTTCAAATGGCGAATTTTTTTCTGCTTTTCGTCGAACTTTGGATGGAAAAAGGTTTTTCACATACCTGCATCATCAATCTTTCATATTCAACGAGAGAGAAGAAATTGTACCAATGAATCCAAATCAAACCGAAAGACCTCCCCGACTAGTATCAACCTCTTGTTTATTGGATGCTTCTCTGTGGTACCTGCCTGCATCATTAATCTGGTTGCCATTACCTGCAATGGATCAGCTGCATCATGGCAACTTCATCGACTTAGAGGCCTCCTACTCGTGATAAAAAAGTGAAGATGGAAAAAGGCATATACACATAGAAAGAGCAAGTTGTATCTACTATCACTATGTCGTCCCCAAAGCTAAGGATCTTTGATATGCAGCGCTATCACCTGCGGAACATATAAATGCTATATTCCATTCTGCTATCTTTCGCCTTCCGACAAATTATGGTGCGACCGTGCATTTGTCTATGCCTTCAGAATCGTTCAATTCATTCATCCTAGAATGTTGAAAAAAATTTGATGGCCCTTGTACAAAGGTATAAATAATACATTGAGAAAAGGCGGTATGCTAAACAATGTGCCTGCATAAATATTATCTCAAATAATCCCACGTCAAAAAAAGTTAGGCAACTTGTACTTGACTCAAAATGTTTCCATGGGATCTATTATGGTACTCCAACATCTATCGACAAAAAACCATTATCAATAAGCATTAGAATAGTTTACTAAAATGAAACAACACTGGGATCTAAAATGATTTTCATAATAGGTATCTGACTAGTGAATGGGGAAAATCCATTTATAACCCCGGGCGACATGATATATGGTGGTTGCATCTATATAAAAAAACGACCTCATTAGTAGAATGTAACAAAATGCATCCACGGGATCTATTTTGCTACTCCAACATCTATAAACGATACACCACTAACAATAAACCTTAGAATTTGCAACAAATTTCAGCCAATATAGTAACCCAAACTTCTAAATACCTGACTAGTGAATGAGGAAAATCCATTCATAATCCCTATTAGCATAACGTATGGTGGTTGCATCTATATAAAAAAATGACCTCGTTAGTAGAATGTAACAAAATGCTTCCATGGGATCTATTTTGCTACACCAAAAGCTATAAACGATAAACCACTAACATGGCAAATCAGAATTTGCAACAAATTTCAGCCAACTTGATTATGGAGATTGAGATTTATTATAGGACCACCAATGTTGCTAGGACGCAAGGTATTTCGAGTCTAATTTGAATATCTTGAATAATCTGGTAAATGAGTCACATCCTCCGTTGCTTGGACAGCCAGCTCTACATTGTAAAATAAGCAATATATTAATTGCCATCATGTAGCATAAATATAAAAATAAACTAAATATATTAGCTAGAACTCTACATTGCTCAACTCACCTTGACTTTCTATAAGCATTGGGGGTATTTCTTTCTTAGATTTTTTCTTCTTTTTCTCACTCGAGCTTTTAAGCCTTCCATAAGTAGTTCCCTTTCCTTTCTTTCGAAAGGGGTCCAATATCGGCAACTCACGCAAAGAAGTCTCATCATTATCATCATCACTAGCATCATCTATCACAACGAGACTTGAGTTGTATGCTGAAATTTCAGCCACTGTTACATCCAAGTTCTTCTTCGCTATCCTCATAGAATTTTCATCTTGGGCTCCCAAACTCATCACTTCAAAAGAATTTCACATTAACGTGGAAAATCGATTAAATGTAGAAGGACCCGGTGACATTTCATGAGATTCATCATTCACACACCCTTGCTTTGCACCCTTACTCCATCTTTTCAATATATAGGAAGATGGAATGATTGAAACCGATCTGTTCCTATTCAACACGTGCAAAGCATGGCGACACAACCACACCTTTGATTCAAATGGTTTGCAGGTACAAGAAACTAAAATGTCAACAGGGTTAAATTTGACAACATGTTCACCTTCAATCCTGTAACATCTTCAATTTCAGTCCCTGGGAAATGGTTATGGTTTAAGTTTGATGGTTTTCCAATCAGAGCCAATTTTATTCTTGTTTTGGAAAACCCATATTCGGATACTTTGTACCCCTTTCATTTTGTTATTTTTGTGGAGACTTTTGTGATCCGAATTTCCAAACACTTCCTCGTAAATGTTTCTCCAAACATATTGAACTTTTACATACTGTAATTTTAGAATTTTTGGACTTGATATGAGTAGTACAATAGCCTAATTTCGGACTGTGTAAAACTGCCCAGAATGGGTATTTCTGTAATGTTCACACTTTCTCGATTTTCTACAAAATTTTCTAGGCTGAATTTGAACAAATTCCTTCACAAAAGTTGTTAAGAACTTATTTCTCTATAACATATATAAATTTTGGAATTTTTGGAGATGATTTGGATTCTGAAAAGAGCTTACTTTGAGAAGCAAAGATTCTGTTCTAGCGAACTGTTTTTAGTCTATCTTTGACCTACTAAAAGTTGTAATTATAGAAAGATCCAGATTTCGTGTTCTTCATGGAAAATGTTTGTTAAGCCTTGTTTATGACATATTCAAATTTGAGAATTTTTGGAGTCCATTTACTATGTTTTCAAGTCCGATTTCGTGAATAGTATAAAACTGTCCGATTTTGCCAGATTTCAAAGATTCATCAATTTCTATATGAAAACATTAGAATTTCAATTTGATGTCTTCTGGAAACAAAATCTATATATTCTGAGCTTTTAAATGAGAGATGTGTGGCCTCAATTAAAGGCTTGTATAAGAAGCTTCATGATGGTTAAGAACTTGGGGACCAAGTTTTGACTTGGAAGAGTCTAGAGAGTCAAGAACTTGGGAACCAAATTTTGACTTGGAAGAGTCTAGAGAATCAAGAATTTGGGGAGCAAGCTTTGACTCTTAAGCTTGGTGAACAAGTTAGTGATTTGCCTATAAATAGGCTTGGTTCCCCCTCTTAGTTTCCACACATCACCTCTTCTTTCTCTCATCTCTCACTCTCACGTCTCTCTCTCTCCCTCACCATCACACCAATCATCTCTCTCTCTCTCTCTCTCTCTCTCTCTCTCTCTCTCTCTCTCTCTCTCTCTCTCTCACACACACCATTTGTCGCTGCTAACCGCCGTAGACATTTTCTTGTGATTATAAGTGAGTGAATTCCCTAACACTTGGATAGGGTGGTGTGTTACGAGGTTGGAACGCGGCATGTAAGTGGATTCCCTAATCTCGGGATACGAAGTTATGATGCGTTGTTGGCTTGAGTTCTCACCCGAGCCTTTGTTGAGACTTGCGTGTTGTTGTTTGTCTCGATGTTGCACGCATCGCTTGTTACTATGCTTGATGTTCTCATCCATGCTTGTTGATTTATAAGAGGATAGGACGTGGTGTTACGAGTTTAGCTCGAGTAGTGACCGTGTCTGTGATGCTCGATGTTTGCATGAGTGCTTATTGTTTTGCTTTATAATCATAAGTTAAGGCACGTACGAGTCACGAAACGGGGTGTCGTATGGTCTCGTACTCATGTTGTGACATCACGAGACGAGTTTGGCTTGGTGCGGGTTTACATTGAGGTGTGTAGATCCAGGTCAAGTTCGGCTCCGAGCCGGCGCTCGGCATGGCTAACCGAACCACGTGCCTTCGACCGCGACCCGCATGTTAGGCGAATGTTCTAGAGATCATGATTACACAAGCACGACATGCCTTTGGGCTTGATTGCATGGACTAATGAAATCAAGATAATAAACCGGCTTGTGTGACCTATGATGTGTGATCACTAAATAAAAGAAGAAGACCGTCGTCACATAGCATTGGCAGCGATGCCTTGGTAAACTAGCGTCGGGATGCCCTAGTTGAGCTAGGATACCTTGGTTGAGCTCGGATGCCTAGGGTAAGCTAGCCCCAAGATGCCTCGGTTGAGCCGGGATGCCTTGGTTGAGCCAAGATGCCTAGCATGAAGCTGGATGCCTCGGTTGAGCAGGGATACCCTGGTTGAGCCAGAATGACGATAAATGAATCTTATATGTGTGCCGGTATGTGATAAATGAATTCTATATGTGTGTCGGTATGTGTATTTATTGATAAGCCGAATTTATGTGATCAGATAAAGGTGATTTTCATGTGAACATAGCAAGGGTAAGGTCAACGTTTTTGCTATTGATTTGCTATCGACATAAGGCAGGGAAAATATTTGTATGCGTTAGTACAACGGCGAAGCATCATCCTGCATGAGTATTAGTGAATTTACTCATTGAGACTCCCCAACTCATCCCACGTTGTTTTCATTTTCAGGTCCGTAAAATGGAGGATGACATAGAGAAGCTAGGATTAACCTCGGCCTTCGCTTATGATATGATTTGTACGTGGAACGGCCCATGAAAAAGGGGCTTGTAAAATACGTTTAAGTAAAATGACAATAATATGTCTTGCATGTTATGCTTTCCCTGATGTCCAGCTGTTATTATGGGAATTTGTTTATACACATCTTCGCATGTGCTTAATAATAAGATGAAAGAAACGGGATGACGACAAGCCTATAATGTCAAATTAATAACGCCGATGTAAGATAAGGACGTTACAAATCCCCTCACACATGACAGTGTAGTGAAAAATTACCCCATCAAAAGCTTCACTTGAAACACCTTCAGAGACACCTTAAAGAAATTCTTCTTGAAACCTTTGAAAAATGGTACGAGTATACACCGAAGTGGCATGCTTCAATTTCCTGTTATTGGAAATCCACAATTTAGGCATGCCATGAGATTTATAATCATCTTGACCTTCAATTTCTTTCATATGTTTCAATTGTTCTTCATAGTGGTGAACAAATTCTTTAAGAGTCAATGTCTTAGTCGACATTTTTTGGAAGACATTGTTAGTACTCTCGCTCCTTTGACTCTATCTTATTCCACAAGAAAAAATATCACGACCAAAAGTTGAACTCCATTTATGTCTAAGGTCGTATAACCTCTGAAGCCAATTGTTATTTTCAGTACCCACTCCTCTTCCATTTTCCTCCAAGTACATTCAAACTCATCCTCTGATTTGCACTTATGCATAAGTTTTGAGAAATATTTATCCTTGAACTCTGACTTGTGGTAAAGAAATGGAATGTTTTGATTGGCAATTTTCCCAATGTGCCACGTGCATAAATGGTGTTGAGTATCCGGAAATACCGTTCGAATGGCTTTTGCCATGGCTT